TTCAGGTTGAAGGTTCTATAAAATAGTAGATCAGGGTAACATAAGTCATTTTATATTTTTTTTACAAATCTCTCTTCACCCCGACCTGAAGAAACTAATAAAAGAGGAGTGTCAGGTCGGATTCATTGATATGCATGGAGTTGTTTTCTTCGTGGATAGGGAAATCAAGCATTTTAAACGTACTATAACTAGAAAATTTAGAGGTTGATATGATACACAACTGTATCTATGATGTGTTCTAGTATGTCTTCAATGTAACTGTTAACGCTTGTTAATGAAGATTGAAGTTCCAGTTACTCTGATAGTTAATTACTCTGATTTTTACTATTGCACATTCTTAAATTATTTATTGCAAACCTAATTAAATAATCGTATGGACATACGGTAATAAGTTCAAGTGTTGGTGGTAAATAGGATATGAGAATAATATATAACTCTTCTACCACGTTAAGTTATAATTTAATCTCAGGTTTGGTAGTATCTACATAAGGCAAGGGTTTTCCTTATGCTGTAATGCCACATGTTTTAAAATAATTTGGATATTATTACCATTAGTGCATGTATTTTTATTGGTTCGTCTATAGTTGTAATATGTCAACCAACTAATTACACTAATTACGTAGCATATCAAAGTCTCAGTAATTTATCACAATTAGTTTTATTTCATTGTCGAAGTAGTTATATTAAAATTATTTAAAACAAATTTAAATAATTAATAACGTTATATTTAAATAAAAAACGTTAAAAACAAGTATATATGTCAACAACAGTAATGCTCTGGTTTAATATGAAAATCTGTAATTTTCAGAAGCGAGAAAATTACACGGTAGCAATCATTAGTTTTTGAGAAATTATTCAAATATTGAAGAGTTTGGATTTTTTTTATTTTAAAGAATGCAGAGTTTCAAATATTATAATTTATGTCTAACAAAAGAAGAAGCTGAACTTCCTACCCATCCTTTTAGTTGTTAGTTGAATCACTTGGCTTTTTACGTTACGAATTTTTGGTAAAACATCATAAAAGGAAACATAACATAATTTAGTTACTATTTGGAATTTGGTTATATTTAAGTTACGTGTTTTACATTCATTTTGATTTATACTGATTTACTAAGCTTTTAAACAACCTTTACAGTATCTAAGAAAATAGCTACACCAAAACCCACCAAAGCTTGGACATAGTTCAATAAACCTTAAAATTTAAAATTCCACCAACGTACGACACAATGGTTTAGCACCAGTAAAGCTAACACATAAAGAGATAATTTATGTCTTAATCAAAGTACTCAAGTTTTCATTAGGTGGCCCCTGACGCCCATTAAGTAAAGTAAACGTCCTCTGGGATGGAATTAATATTTTAAGCCCTCCCTCCAAAAATAGCTCCCACCTAACGCTTTCCTCTTGTAACCGGAACGATTATAGGCTTTGTATTTAGTTTTGCATTGTGAGATTTCTTGTTAATAAGATAATTTACAACAATGACAAGCATTATTATTTCTAATTTTATTTTAACCTCCATTTAGTTCTCCTTGGTTTTACTTAATCAATCTTTACAAAATATTGGCATTGCAATGCAGAATGGGTTGATTATTTCGTACAAAAATTAATTGGCACTGGCACGTTGTAAAAAATGTATTACGTATATTTTACAAGCACGTTACTAACATGTAAAATATTTTGCAAGCATGTTACTTGAATAGTTTAAGTAAGTATGTTCTAGACTAAAATATTCCTTACTATCAGGAGTTTTTTTTTAAAATCTTTGTGTCTTTTTGCTCAATTTAGCATATTTAGCAATTATTTTTAACCAGTCAGTTTTTTTTTTATAAAATATGATTGTTTAGATACTATTTTTCAATTACATGGTGTTAAGGATCCTCGTATTAAGGCGCAGTGTGTGGAGCGGTCCATTGAAACCAAATCTGATGTTGACGTTCATGATGAGATTTCAGACAAGATACAATAGGAATCCTCCTTCAAGACTGAAGACTTCATGTACTCCTCCACACTGGACAGACTTTGTTCGACATTTCCGGATGGGTCAATTCCAAACCTTCGGATTGGCCTTGATGTTCCTGCACTTGTTCTCATATGTCACCAGATATTACCCCGCGTGACTTTTTTGGTCCTTCGTTAAGGATATTGTCTACTTCAGTAAAGTGAACACCAAAGAAGAACTCGGAGAAAAAATAAGGAAAGGGTTTGATGAAATAAACTTATTTTAGGTTGTGTTTTATATGAGCTAGATTTTTGACTTGATTATTTGCGTGAAAATAATGGAATACACGTTGAAGTTAGGTTAGGTATATTATGTACCAAAACTTGAAATGATTTCCTAAACTTTGATTGGTTTTTCATAGCTTTAAGTGGAAAGATAAAGGTTTTATGATTGGTTGAAATTGTAAAGTTTTTTTATAAACACCCTGTATTTGAATACATTTAATAAGTACAATTTAATAATCACAAAATGTTAAAATATTACTTGATTTCTCTTTAAACATGGTTCCGCGTTTTTATGGATCCAAATAAAATTGTCAGTGCAATAATGAAGTAGGTTTATGCGAAACACTAGAATATTTACCGAAGAGCAACTAAGTGGGAGAGGGTGAATTTCTTAGCAAGGAAGATTAGACACCGTGAAATATGTCTGTGGTTGTACATGCATAAGGTCTTCTACAGATTACCAAACAATAGATCAAATACAAAAGGTAAGCTTATGGTGGTATAAAGAAGTGTACTTAGATAATTTCAGCGACAACATAGGGATAATTTGCTTATAAACAACACAGTAAAACAGATTTGAAAACTAATATAAAGTAGGCATAAATATTTCCTAAGTATAATGACTCATAAGATTTACGGTTTAACGAGTATATTTACTTGTAACATTGAAAACTTTTGTAAATACTGCCTGTAAAAGACATCTTGTTAATAGTGCTGTCCTTTTACCCTCAACTAAATATGTTTTTCAAATTGAGTTAGGAGTTACGTCTTAAGAAGATAAATGTTAATCTAATTAATAATGCCTTATTAAAGCCAGCGAAATATTGCAGGATTTAATTACTCAAATATTCAGATAATGATAATTCGGTTACATGTTTAATTAATATGAAACTAGAGGACCCATGCTGCTCCGCAGCGTTAAAATGAATATAATATCTGATAAATAATCAAATTTATGATTTTTTATTGAGTAATACAGTATATTCAGCTTAACCGATTTAAACTATCAATAGATCAAATTAAAGCCTATATTTTACTGATTATTTTGAGTCTAAAGCATATCAAAAACATGACAATATGAAAGAATCGTTTTTTTAATCATAGACAAACCTTGTGAAAAATAATTGATATGTTGGTTGTTTACTTCGTGTTTGCTTGAAACTCGTCCGATATCAATAAATAATAGTTTAAATGAAAGCCGGTATTTCACTGAACGTTCTTAGACAAAAGCTTAAATTGAAGTTAGAATTAAAAAATGAATCAAATTATGTGTTTTGGTCGAGTAATACAGTAGATATATGCCGATGCTCGATGGCAAATCTGTGCTTGCATACCTTCAATTTGATACCTCAATCATGAAAATCGGTCGGGTAGCAGAGTCAAATGAACTCGGAAAAGAAAATCAATTTTTTGTATATAAGATCATTGTTTTATCTGAATTTAAATAGTCTTCTTAAATACTTAACATTATTGTTTTTAAAATACGTTTAAGTTATTTCCATTAAAAACATATAACCAAATTAGTAACAAAACATAGTAATAATAGATTTTAAAACTACTGGAGTGTTTATAATAAATCTGTAGTAGGATTTTTAGGTCACCATAATAGTCAAATGAATTTTTGCTAGTTAAAAATTAGACTTCTCTAGAATATATAGAGGGCAACACACTTAAGACTCACTTTCTTCTGAACAGTAAGCATTTTACTTACCTAAAGTAGTTCAAAATGAATTCCCCATCCGAAACCCTCTCTTAAAATTAGAACAAAAGTTTATACTACCCATATATCTGACATTTTTTACCCACCACAGCCAATTATATATGACAAACATAAAACTACACAAAGTTATAGAGTAACAACTTATGCAATGCTAGTAAGGCGATAACTCTACAAACAGCTGTTGAGCTCAACAATAGTTAGAAAGCTGATTATATACACTTGGTGCTCCGAGTTACATGACAATGTTGTTTGTTGGCGGCTTTGTGTTTGGAATTGCAATCTGTATTAGGCAGTAATAGTCTTATGTTGGTATAAAATGGTGCATATTGCCAAGAGAGTTATCAAGAGTGCCTATAGAGTTTCATATTATAAATTATTCATCATTACGAGTTCAATGACTTATCCCTTAGATCCTAACTTATGGCACAAGGATAAAATATTTATCACTAAATATTCCTCGATTACTTAACATTGGTCGGTAAAAGATCCTTATTGAACATAATATAAATCACAACTGCATAAACCTAAGATAGCATTGACACATCATGCTAAAAGTTCAATGTATAAAATATCCAACTATAGAAAATGGGCCTTATGCTTTTGAGATGGTAAATGAACGAATCTTTGATATTTTTTACACTTATTGCAATAATAACGATATTATTAGCGTAGATATAAACTGCATCATAAATACATACGGTATTTATATTGTATTTATTAACCGTAGGCCTATTACTTTACTAGATTTTGAATTAACATGTAGTCATGAATAAATATGAAAAAAGGTATGCGAAGTTGTTTCATCTATCTGAAATTAATGTTTCAAAAATATTTTAAATATTGTTTTGATATTTAAATAATGAATGTTAATGGGCGTTTAAATTGTCCACGAATATTCCAACATTATTTATAACCCAGAAGGGAATCCACCATTCAACAACATCATTGCGTGCTCTTTATACTAAGTGCCACATTGTACTTATTTAAATATCTATAAATCACTTAAAACTCCATATACAAATATTTTGGGAAGTATAATAAGACATAGTCATCCTCAAAAATTTCTTTATTATTAAAATATACAATACAAATTTTATCAGCTACAGATTGCTTGAAGCCGGTCAGACTATGGCCATAGACAAATATAATTAAATATATACCGCCTGCAGTGCTGCGGTTAGCACGAGTTCTGGCATCCACCGCTAGGAGTGTCATGTAGTTACGTAGCACGTGCGCCTTAACTACATGTGCTCCAAGCGGTGGACGCCAGAACTTATGCGAAATGCAGCACCGATTTTGGTTTATATGTAATTCTATTTGTCTATGCTATGGCTAAGCGATGGTCCTACGTACAGTACATTGTCTGTGGTAGGTGAACAGGAGAAATATGACATATATAATGGTCTTCTCTACGGTATTCTAAGAGAAAGGTCCAGCTTTGAAATATCAGGTGGCCAAAGTGGTTAACTTAGTTTTGGTTCTTTCATACATATTAGTTTTATTTTCGTATACTATTTTTATTTGATGTCATAAGCAGACAGTGGTATTTTAAAATAAAATTGTTTGATGATATAATTACATAGCTCACGTTATCTCTGTGAATTTTAATAGGTAATGGTTTACTGGTTTACATATTCGTTGAACAATTATATGATTATAAAAATGTTTTGAGCACTTTGATCAAAGTTAAATTTTACATTGTCACGTATTATATCCATAAAATCAGCTGTAATTATCAATAAGTATTTTTTACATGGCCTAATACATTTTTAATTGTTTTATTTCTCACAATTTTGTAGTTAAGGATATATTTATTGCTTAGAAAAATATGTAAAAGAGTAAATCTTTTAACGTAACGTTTAGAATAAGAAATATTGCTTTGGTGAAATTTAATTTTAAAATATTAATGAATATAAAATTATTTGGAAACTTAATGGCACTATAAAATATATATTTTTATCTACATACAAACTATATTTCACGTATATTTTTTACGCTTAAAGCTATGGTAACTTAACATTAACCTATAAACAAAATTAACAATGTTTTACGCGGTGAATAAATTAATCAACGATTTATCTTCAGTGTGTTGTAGGCCGTAATTATATAAACTTAAACAACGCGTAAGATACAGAAATATTTATAAAAGTTTTTATAAACATGAACACTACAGTTTCTTACGGCAAAAAGGCTTTAATCTGAATACCAGGCCATAAAACAATATGAAAAAGTATCATAAGTTTTATAGTATTACAACTGTTAATGCATAATAGAAAAAGAAACTTGAACTGTAATTAAAACTTTTGCAAGAGCTCGGTTACCTTTTTAATAATTTTTTGCAGTTTTCCTTATTTTTTCCTTACTATCTATAGCTTATCAGGTCATTTACTTAATTGAATACAAATTTTAAGAGCAAGTTACTTCCTGAGAGCATACAAGCTGTGTAAAATGTCTTAATAGTAATACATTTTTTGTCTCAATCTTAAGCGATAGTTCTAGGATTTATGGACTCCTTAACCCAATTAAATTTTCAAAAGGGCATTTTTCAATAATAATGAAATCGTAATACCGTAAATAATCAATGCTGTTGTGTAAAAAAGGAAAAGGCCTGGCATTTAGATTTAGGTCTTGCTACACTGAAAGAGCTCTAGACTTACCTCTAAATATGAAAATATAAAGAGCATTCACAAAACACACTGATAAAAAATGTCACTTTATAAAACGTGTCCGAAATCACAGTGAGTAAGTCGTGATTGGTGCGTGTTGATGGGGAGCCCCTTGAACATGAGCTTAGGTTGATTTAATGAGAAAATACACATAATACAGTTTAGAGCCCATAGGCTCTTAGCCGGAGGGATGAATGAAGGTCTTGTTCACAACTAATCATGTGAATGTACTCTTACGAAAGTATACATTACATAGAAAAGTAAAGAAAGCTACAGATGTTATAGCATTTAATTACCAACTCTAAATTGTTCTTTCAAATTCTTAGCAAAACCTTAGAAAACGACATATTTGGAAATGTGTCGGAAATATTTGGACTTTGTGTTATTTAGATTTATGCTTTTCTCATACAATAAAATAACAAATTAGATTTAAGGAAAGGTTAATGGTTTACGTGGAGGACATTGTAAACATAACGTCAATAAATAAGACAGTGGACTCATAGGAATACCGTCAATAGTTTTAGCTTAAAACAAAGAAAAGTACGTTTAGCTGTTGTACTTTTACCATGACTTGGGTCGTCGTAGGACTAAATAGGTCCTAAATAAAATTAAGTTTGTCATAGGCCACTTGTCGAGTGTCATATGCTATGAAATAATGGTGTTAAAATATGTGTTCTCTTTGGAAAAGAAGTAATGCGAGAAATATTTTACTTATCATCATATAAATGTAGTTGATAGATAAACCTTAAAAGGGGCTCCCAGCACTTGATTTCAACCACGACGAAACCAAAGACTTTATCTCTCTCGTGGAAGATGATAGCGGTCAGGGGAAGCGTGATATCAGTAATCATCGTCATCGTTTTTGCCACAGCAACAACAACAGCACTTGCAAAGAAGCACGATGCACGCGATTGCCAACAGACCGCCTCCAGTCGCTCCTATAGCAATGACGAACCAGTTTGCTTGGCTTTGGTCAATCCTTGCTGCGCAGAGTTCCAAAGCCTCGTCAGCGGCCAGACTTCCGTTAACTACACCAGGACAGTTCATAACACCATTGCACACTAGCGAAGAGGGAATACAAAGACCATTCTCTCCTGGACAGACAAATCCACAATCATCACTCTGCAGCGAGCCTGTCATTCCATCATCAATCATCTTCGAGGTCATCAAAGTCCCGTCAGCGTTCCTCGGAAGATGGAACAATTCCGTCCAAGCTATCTTGAACCCGGCTCTTGCTGGCGTGACTGTTCCGATGAACTGGATCTTCACCGACGGCTGTGAACTGTAGCCTGATGCAGTGTGAGGAGTAAGATCCAAAGAGGTGAGTGGTTGCATTTCCTTAGCACTGACGTTGTGTCCACAAATGGTCATGTATGGAATTTCAGGTCTTGAAGGGAGGTAAACTTCTATTCTTCCATCTTGGCAATCCCTTGTTGCAAACCTGACTTTGTCAAAGTGCAACCAAACGTCTCTTTCTCGGTTGACCTTGATTTCCCAGAGGCACTTCAACGACCTTGGAGGTTCTGTGAAGCCGAGAGCTTCATAGTGAGGGTAGTGAAGCTCACCCTCAGTGCTAGCAGGGATGTTGGCAGGTCCACACAGTGGCCCGTGGATGAACTCGTATGTAGCCTCAAACAACGGACTAGGGTGTTTGAAGTAGCTAGAGGCTGAGTGACCCACGTCCACCACCAACTCTAGATTCAGCGTCTCCGTGGATGACGTCACTATGGTAACTGGCCGGCCACCCTTGGAGGGGGTTGTTCTGCAGAGACAGTGTGCACCCGCCTTGCCAGAGCTTGGGATGGTTGCGATGCTTGGAGGATGGTACGATATGTTGACCAGCGCAGGCTCCCAGATGACCAGCTTGTCCATTCTGCCGTCCCAGCACTCCTCTGGGGGAGCTGAGTTGAATGGGTGATCCTGCAAATAAAGAAAATATAGTATATATGTCTTTCACACTAATTTTATATAATATTTACACTTGTAATAAAAAAATCAAATACAGTAAATATATCTTAAAATCTATCAGTTATATTGGTGACTAATATCACCCAGTCATCTTTAGGCCCGAGACTTCAATAGTAGATTTGTATGCATTATTCTTCCATAGATCGTGCTCGTGTTGTAAATGATTTGGTTTACTTTTAAAGTTAATCTCTTTTTATCAACTCAAGTTTCTAAGACAGAAAATCAAGAGTTTCAAATTTCACTTATATGTCTACAAATTTGTGACTTGAATTACTCAATACAAATGTCACTACTATTTATAAGGATTGTGTCAGTACTATTTCTTTTTGTTTAAAGTGGTTCACTAGCATTTGCACATATTCACAAACAACCTCATCCAAAATTTCCCAAACTATACAACCATCTCACTTTAGATCAAGGTTATATATATATATATATATATATTTCATACCTTAAAGTTGATACTTTTGATTGTTAGGATAACTCTTGCAAACAGTCTGTTATCAGTGACGAATTTGTATCGGCAATGAAGATCTCCGTCGGCTTCGGTACGTTTGTAGACGAGTGTGTTTACTGGAGATCTGTAAAAGGCAAAATAAAAGATAGTTTTCATTCAATTCCTTAATTATTTAGACACATCACTGAACTTACTGTACATAAATAATAATTCGTGTTCAGTTTGTAATCCGATATTATTTGAGTGCAGTGTCTGTAGAGAACAGTATAGACAAAAAGAATTAAATATAGCTACCGTCAGCCTGTGCTGCGATTACCATTGAATCTGGTGCACAACGCTGGGAGCGCCGTGTAGTTTACGTAGCACCTAGGCCATAACTACATTGCGCTCCCAGCGGTGTGAGCCAGAACCTATGGTAATTATGGTAACCACAGCACGGCTGACAGTCTATATTTAATTATTTTTGTCTATGGTAATACTTGAAAGATGTTTTTTTAGCTTCAAAGAATTTGAAGACATATTGTGTATGTTTTGAAAGAATCTAATAATTATCAGAATGTGTGTCTAGTTCAGCGTACAGTACGGTATTTTAGACAGGCCGAAAGAGGATAAAATATAAATAAGATTTATCCATTTTAACCTCTTTTAAGAGTAAAATGAGTTATTGAGTTTCATCTAGAACAACAAGTTATATATTGAGTAATTGAGTAGTACTTAGCTACCTGAGATATCCCGAAGACTTGGTCCAGGAAGCGATTTCTTCATCACAGACGGTATCTTGAACTGGGCGACCGTATCTTGTGTTGTTGAAGAAGTCGTAATGAGCCCAGTAGTACAGAGAAGATCTGGAAAAGGTAAAAAATTTAACTTAGAATGATTGCTGATATTTTATTTTTTGTTCTACAATTTATTTTATAGAGTTGGAGAGTCTTAGCACTATGAAGATTTAAAATACAGCCAAATAGTTAAACTTTTAATTTAAATTGTATAATTTTGTCCATGAAAAAGTGGATATAGATGTTACTACAACGAACAAACCGGTCTAAAAACTAACATAAGTGATGAACAAAATTTTAAAAAACACAAGATACAATTTTGTTTAGATATACGGGATTTATAACACCATATACAAATGTAAATTAGATTGATAAATTTATATACGTTGAAATATATACCGTAAAATATACAGGATGGCTGAAAAGTAGCTTACACCCACCCTAAAATTTTGAACCATTTAAGATATTTGAAATCTGTTTGTGGCAACCTTCTAAGGTATGAGGAGGAGCTACAATAATTACGGCCAATTTTGAAAATTTTGAATTTTTTGAAAAATACCCCCACTTAATCTCTTAATCACTTATCTAAGGGCAAAATGTTTAAAACTGACTATAAATATTGTAGCCCTTCATATCCAAACAAGGTGCCGCAAATCGATTTTAAATATCTGAAAAAGTTAAAAAAGTTAAAGGCGGTGCAAGTTAATTTTCAGCCACCCTTTAAGTTAAGCTAAGAAGATATTTTAAATCAGTAAAAATCTTTACAATCTTGGAAGCCAAGACATCGATGATTCTGGTGTAAAAACTTTGTGTTACAATCCTTACAATATAATTTTCCTCGCTTTTCCTTATTGCCTTTCATATCTAATTTATCGTTTTCTATAAAAAGAACACTCTATATTACAGTAAAATAAAGACTTCGAATAAAGATACTCTCTAGCACTCAGTTCTGATTTATGGAAATATTAATTACCGTATATAAGTCACTCCTAATAAAAGCCAACTGTAATATATTTTTGTAAACCTTTTGAATATCGTATGGTTAATGTTTTTGCAAGATTAATTAATTTCTTAAATATGTACATAGACTATAAGCAATATGTAACGTGGAAAGAAATAATTAAGTAATACTGCAATTAAAGCTGAAATTAAAAGTCCTCAATCAAATGTCAAATATGATTAAACTACATTTTCGCAATCTCTTGATGTTTTAGCTTTAACTAACTCAAAAAAGACTCAATAGCTTAAAAAAATTTAAATAAATAGCTTTACTATGATAGTGGTTTAAATACCTTATTCATGCAATCCAATTGTTGTCTTCACAACTAGTTTCAACCTGCTAGGAGGTCATCATCAGGTGAGTACAAGACCTTCATATATTACTTCATATGAAGTAATATCATCCTTGTACTCACCTGATGATAGCAGGTTGAAACTAGTTGTGAAGACAACAATTGGATTGCATGAATAAGGTATTTAAACCACTATCATAGTTATTATTCGCAATCCGGAGGCTACTCACACCACAATGAAAATAGCTTTACTTAGTAAACAAATCTTAGTTAGTGTTGATATCCAGGCACCAACGAGAAATAAAATAGGAAAAACTATAAACACCGAAACCGGATAGAATTGTATTAACTGTTTCAAGATAGGTACAGGAATGCACATTGCTTAAGAATGATATATACTTTTAAAAGATCAAAATACTTTTTTTCCTGGCAAAATGTAAAAAAATATGAATTGTGTTGTCATAAAAGAATATGTAGTTGGAATTTGCACTGCGATGTTTTTCACTGCTATAAACGTATTGATATGATTATAGGGGAGTGTGATTGGTCGATTGAAATGATTGGTTCTACCAAAGACAAATAGAAATCCATACCGACAGCAGTGCTGCGGTTAACATACGTTCTGGCGTCCACCGCTGGGAGCGCTGTGTAGTTACGGCCCTCGCTACGTAACTACACGGCACTCCTAGCGGTGGACGCCAGAACTTTTATTTGTCTATGGTTCTACTTACCCGGAGTAGCTTCCAGTTTTGCTCTCGAACCTGACGAATAGAGCGTCCCCAGTGGAGACAAAGTCGTGTTTCTCCATAGGTCTAGAGAACGTGTCGCAGAACGTTTTGATGATACGGGCGTCATCAGGCCAAGACGCGTCGTAGAGAGTGAGGCTCTCCCCACAATCCCCGTCAAACACTGTGATGGGCGACTCTATGCGGTTGATTCTAAAACTGAAATTACACATAAAGTTTATTAATGAGTACACGTTTTACTGGTAGTTCATCAATCTTTTGTGTTGAAGATGTTGAAATTCTTTCCCATTAACCTGGTGTTTTATTAAAAGCAGACTTGCTCCAACTAGGTGGTCGTCAATAACTCGATAAACTCGTTTATTGAACCAACTAGACACAATTACATGTATATAGGTTAGGTCAAAATAATTATAATATACAATGGAATTGAACTTAGAATAATAAAATTAACTTAAACATACTATTTACAAATCATTCTGTCTAAAGGAAAATTAAGATTTCAGCTGTCAGTCAGGAAGTCACGGGTGCTGTAGTAGCATTTATTTAATAGAACAGATTTTTTTTCAGATTGTCTGACTCTGCCTTTAGATGCGTTGGAAGGTGGTTAAAGATATTTACTGCATTGTAACGGAGATTTTTTTGAATAAAGGTTGTACAGTGGACAGGGACTGGAAGATTTTAAGAAGTTCTTAAATTGTAAGCATGGTTATGGGATCTATTGAACTTGTCGATGTTTTGTTTTAGGAATGTCAAGGTTTTGTAGATGTAAAGTGATGGAAACGTTAGGATGTTTGCAGTTTGAAAAATAGTTTGCAAGTTTGTCGTTTTTTAAAGAAAATATAGCTATAATTACCCGCTTCTGCAAACGGAATAGAAATAGGGTCCACTTATTCTCATACCCCCATATGGGCAAGGTAGGATGCGGGAAAATAAGGCCATAATAGGCGGTAAGTAGGACATCAGATTTCGTCGAATTTGTAAGGGTCCGGATGTCAATCGCTCATTTTACCCTGTATTAATGAAGGGATGCAAAAAGGTAAAATAATTTAAACTTAACTTACACGGATTTTCTTGACACAACAAAAATAATTCTTTTATAAACGTAAACAAATTTACTTGCTCTTCTTAGTTCAACAATGAATACCAGTTTATTGAAACTATCCGGAAAGATCAGTTTTGATCGACAACTGTTCTGAAACTCTTCGTAGAGATCAGAAAACACGGACTTTATAATTTTTTAAAGTCGTTTAAGTTTAAATATTTTACCTAATAAATTCTTATTTTAATGCAGTATGTAGATATAAAAATATGGTTTTCATAATTTGTTCAGAATTAACTGTTTAGCTTAAAGTGTTTGTTTAAATTTTAAAATGTTCTCGTCGTTTGCCATTCTGTTTAGTATTTCGTTTGCTATTAAATGAACACTCATTGACAAGCATTTTTATTTAAAACTATTTTAGAGGACATAGAACTAATCGATTTCTGATGTGATTTTACTCATCCAAACTACGACGACGCAAATTAAATAAACACCTCAATAACAATAATGTAAATATAGCCTAGTCTAAAACTTCTAGATCGAAACTTTCCCAGAATCCAACCTCTAGATTTCGTTTTAGCCACAGTAAAAAAGCTTAACATAGTATTACATCCATTCTGTACTTAATTCTCATTCATTTAAACTTAATACGCCTTTATCTATGGCTACACGGAGACTCTGCTTCATCTACATAATGTATTTATTCATTAATCCTCAACAGTTTACAAACAATTATTCTCAAACATCATTTTACAAACAATACATTTATTTCTATTGCAGACCGGTAAGTAAAATTAAAAAGCAAACGTTTCGCTTAGAGATGTAACGAATAGTATTTTTGGCCGAATACCGAGTATTCGGTGAGGTCTCAGGCCGAAGCTCCGAATATTCGGCGGCCGAATATTCTGCTCCAGTTGTAGTGTATACGTTAACGAAGTTTCAATTTAAGATGTACCTTCGCCAGTTATAATCCTAAAAAAAATATATAATAAAAAAAAAATAAAAAAAATAAAATATATAATCCTATATATTTTAGTCTAAGAACCTTCAGTGAAATACCGGCTTTCATTTAAGCTATTAGTTATTCAAATCGGACGAATTTCAAGCAAACGCAAGGTGAACAACCAACATAAAAATTATTTTTCATAAGGTATTTATATGATTAAAAATCAATAGCACCAGTAATGTTCATGTTTTTCCATATGTTTTAGACTCAAACTAATCAGTAAACTATAGGCTTTAATTTGAGCTATTGATAGTTTGAATCAGTTAGCTCAAGATACTGTATTACTCAATCAAAATCATAAATTTTATTATTTCTCGGATATTGTATTTATTTTAACGCTGCGGAGCAGTATGGGTCCTCTTTAATATTAATTAAGTTTGATTATTAATTTGCAAACTTCTAAAAATTAATGTTGGTTCTTAAAATAATAAAAATCTTTTCAAAATAATTTATTAAGGTATTATTCTTTGCACAAAGTCTAATAATTATAACTAAATGAGTATTCGGTATTGGGCCGAATGTCAACTAGTATTCGGCCGAATACCGAATACTAAAAATTTGGCCGAATAGACCGAATGCCGAATAGTAACCGAATATTCGTTACATCTCTACGCTATTCATACGAATCTTACAGATAACACCTCCTAATAGACATTATGCGTTTAGCTGTTATTATCTTGTTTTTAGACAGGTGTGGCTTAGTAATACTAGTCAATATTAAGCTAACATTAAGTTTAGGTTAAGGAAAACTTTGACATTTAATTTGTTTAGACAGAATAATGTAGATTTTATTAAGGCTTGATTTAACAAAGCCATTTTACAACCTACTAGGCTACTAGAGTTTTTCACATAAAACACGTAAACTAGCCTAGAGGAATCACCAAATTGCTTGATAGCTTCTAATAAAAAGTGTCTAGAGAAATTTAATTCGGCCACGAAATTTATAGGATACTCACAGGATTTTACGTAAACTAAATCTTTACACTATCAAAGTATACTCACAGTTCCTTGTGCTCAAACAAATCTTAGGATTAGTCCTAATGACGTAGGAGGGAATGGTTAGGTGTACAGTGGGAGTTTTAGGTTTTACCCGTCAAAAAGACTGCTTTATTACTCGCTGGCTAGTAGGTTGCACACTCGCCTTTTATAACCTAGCCTCATCTTGAGGGAGCTTACCTGGGGAAGTACAGCCGAACTATCTGGTTGGGTTTCCCCTGTATGAGGTACGTGCAGCTGGTGTGGGGCGGGTACCAGTGAGCCACTGATAAGAAGATGCCCTCGCTATCACCGGACGCTACAAGATCATCGCTGGTCAACAGCCAATCACAGGCTCCCGTACGGCTACCAGCTGTTTCCACGTGCCCCGGCCAGTTGCCCACGTTGAAGTGGAACCCGGTGTTGAGTAGTGGGCCTGCAAAAGTGTAAATTGGGGTGCACAAATATTTCTAACATCTTCCTTTACCTGAGATCTCCTTTGGATGATATTCAGGTATTGCTACTCATGACGTAACTTCAACAGACACTGCTCAAAAACACATTTTCAATGTAGCTACCTTTTGGATCTACCAAGTGAGACTCTTGAGTTGTTAATTTAAGCTTATGGATCAGGGGCGATATAGAAAAGTCGAGTGGTTTTTAGTGGCACAAGCGGTTTTGTATAGGCCATGAAAGCATTGATGATGACCTTCGTTGAGGACGTTCTTCAACAGCAGTCAATTACGAACACATTGAGCGGGTTGTGGATTTTTGGTCTTTTAGGGAAAGAAGTACATGATTTATTCTTTCAGAGCACTTAGTGTAGAATTATTTTCGGAGAAGTATTTTTAAACATGTAGTTTTCCTGAATAATCATACCTGGTTAGTATTAGTACCATTAGTATTTAAGGATTTAAGAAGCTACTGTTGAATGTGTTGTCAATAGTTGGGTTGGCAATAGTTTTTTCCTACTACCGATATATAATTTGTCTGGGTATTTTCCTAGGCGTTAAACTGTACTTCAATCTTTGTAATACAAACAAACACGTTTCTTGAATCCATTATTTTCACCAGAATGTATTTTCACCTAAAATTGAAACTATGCAATAGAATAACATAAATCATACTTATTTTAAACTTTTAAGTCTTCGAGCCTGTTTTTACAGAATAATATTCATACAGTATTTATGGGAAATAGTGATAAATCAAATAATTTGAGGGAAGTATTATTTCTAATATTTTTAATACAGTAATTATTTACATAACAAACTAATTTTTAGTATAAATATATACAAATGAATATATTCTTGAACCAGAACCTACTCTAATGTTTAAAAACCACTAAAAAAATGGATGATTCACGAACTGACGTAGTAAAACTGGATTCAACGGGGACATAACTCACAAATGTGTTCAAATGAATAAAACATAGTTGAATATGATTATTTAAGTCGCAAAGGTAAAACTCTTTTTGTTATTGCGGCTAGACTGTATAAAACAGTCGTAAAAGTTTTGTATTACGAAGCCGGTCTATTGTGGACGCAGTGAGGCCAACAGAACGACAATAAATTGCCAGAATCGCTCCCAGTGCTGCCACTGTATCACGGAAACTGCCATTACAAGATTCTACTTGTCACAACCGACTAAAGTAGTTCCCGTTTCGGAGTGAGCCAAATATATATAATGCGCAATTGTAAAGATTGGTGTAAGTAGAGAAATGGTATAGGAATCTGACTGGTCTTAATTACCTTGTATATTTTGGAAAGGTAGGTGACGAAAATGAAATGTTTTATGCTGACTTTGGTAAAAAGCATCGTTCTAAACATTACAGGGTAGTGCTTGATTGCGCATTGACAAAAATGTCAATGGTGATTTCGGATTGTTCCCTTGTCGAACCTTTTGCGAGTGTACTTCGATATTCTTTATTAATAGTAAATACAATCCAAAAGTAAACCTAATTAAGGGTAAAAACCAAAATACATGCCAATTATTCCGCTTAAAACATGGCAAACAAATTAAAGGAAGTGAAAATACTGATGAATTATATTACTATCGATTTTTTTATAATGCACGATTTTAATTGTAAATATTTCTTTTAAAACATCCAAAAAATTTCGTATTGATTTATAAAAAGATTCTAAAACTAATATGCAGCGAAAACCATACATACAAGGCCTGCAGTGGTAATGATTTTACTAGCTTAATCATTATTCTCACTTTATACTTCTATCAACAAATCTGTAGTTAAAATTATACTTAATGGTACAGTATTTCAGTACAGATAGTAGTGTGTTTGATAGTACAGTTTTTTTAATCACCTGCAAAAGCCTTACAAAAATCACGTATATATATTATAGTTAGTTTAATTTTATGCAATAAGTATAAAAAATGAAAAAAGGTGTGTTGGTAATGCGACTATGTAATTAATAAGTCTTTTTAACCAATTCGGTACTTGTTTCAAAAATAAAAATAATAAAAACAATTTTTAGCCTAATAACCTTTTAATTTGTGGAAATAGGTATATCCTTTGATTTCGTATTTCTTTTGTATTAAAAAATAACTTTGTTAAATTTTCTATTACCTGCTGGTGAAGTGACGAACTCCACAAACAGGTCCTCGCTGGTCCCGATGATGGAGTAAGGAAACTTCCCCATCCCACAGAAGATTCCTATGACAGGACTAGACGAGTCCTTGCCGTCGTAGATCTTGATGTAGTCGTAAGGGCAATGTTCAGCTCCTGGACATAATTATTTATTCTCGTAAAGTTTCCAATTGTATTTTTATTTTAATATTGGTTGATTCATAATTTTAAAATTATATCATTCCATTTTTTTTATTGTAAGAACAATCGGTTCCTCTTGGGATTAATCCCAAAAAAAGAATGAATATTTATGGTAACAACGAAATAAATGAATAAAGAGTTTCCCTTATTTAAAACGAGAAATGTCACTTCTCTCTGACCTGGCTAGACTATTTTAAGTTTCATATTAATAACATTCCGTAGTATCACAAGGTTTATAAACGTATGGTTAGTTTTATGTAAAACAAACGCATACATGTTTAGAAAACGAATATTTTGTATAAAACATATCTATGTCAGTTAACATTTCCATGCGCTATGCTTGTTCTTATCGTTGTAATAGTATAATGTATAACCTAACCTAACCTCTTGGTTTCATCAATGTATGCTAATTTAATATAGTGTTCAAGATAGCTCACCATGTTTTTAAAAATATGTTTACTGAGAAAAAAGTGTATTGAAGAGACATACCTCAGAAGAGTATTTATTTTACTAACCCTTCCCATTTAATATGCAGATGCATTAGTGACATAGCATTTTGAACTCAATATCTACCCTGAAAAAGGAAAATTTAACTACGATCCTAAAAAGTTAATTGGTATAATTACTAGTACATACAATTATTTGCAGTTTCAGGAAATTCAATAGGTTAAATCTGGAAATTTAGATAAAGATTTCATTCACGAATCTGGGAATTGTTAATAAAACACTTTAGTGATACGAGATTTAATTGTTACGAATCGTTAAATGTTTGATTTATTTTAATAAATAATTTATACATAAATATCTTATGTAGTTTAAAACTGGTTACTTTACTATACAAATATATTACTCCAACTTTTATTCCCAGTGTAAATCTCAAATAGAGAGGAGTCGGTGGTTATTGAAGCCCGCTACACACGACGCCCAAAGCTTCTCAAATATTTACCTCCGATGCTTCCCGCAATATTCATATTTCACGTTCAAAATACGTCAATCCTTATCTCTACAGTCTGAACACTGCCCCAGGCAAGAGGGTTTTGCTTCATTCCCGAACCAATGAATATTAAAATAGACATTCTTTATACTAATATTTTCAGTTAATTAAACTTTGCTTACAAAGTAAATAGGCCTAAATAATCCTTTTAAAAACAAAACTTTTGACTTCAAACAGTTAAGGGCATCGCAATTTAAAACACAATTTACAACTCAATAACTCAAATCAATTACTATTCTCTGTTATCACTTTTTGACAACGGTTTCCTTACTTTTCCAATTTATATTCTAAATAGAGAAGACAGTATCAGTTTTAAGCATAGGAACGTTAGCCAGATTTAACGAAGAAGAACGCTGCAAATTGAATTGAAGATTTATAGGTACATTTCTTATCGGCGACGTCCCGACCGATTTCTTCTGGTGTTAAAAGGTAATACGAATTGTTGGGGTGTAAGTAATACTTGGTATTAATTTTAGTACTGATAGTATAGTATAGGCCTATACAGTATTACATAATCTTTAAAAAAGGTTTAATTGAAGCATAATGCTCCTGAAAGAATTCAATGATTAGACGATCATATGTAACGAAATATATTAGATGCATCCGAATAAAAAATTAGTACCAGGAGACCGAGCTTTGCTCAGATTAGATTTAAAATCAAATTTATTAGATAAGTTATCTTACTAGTATAAGGATGTTGATTGTTTATTATGTTAATGTTACCAATGTGAGACAATTTTTAGATGATGCAAAGAAAATATTTTTACCTGTATCAGCTGTTATTCAACTGCAGCTAAAAAAAGGTATCGACGATAACATGTGCACTTTCAAGGGCTGTAGGACGGAAACTGGATTTTCCCCAGCCTTGAGACCAACTCCAATAATTTTTCTTGTGGCCAAATACTCCAAAATAAACAAATAACTGTTTGGTTGAATTATAAAGATAAAGAAATCTATGGTGTACGGTCAATTTACATATGGCTTGTTTACATTTGACATTGTGAAAGGTCTATTTATTTTATGAGTCGATTAATCTGAAATTAGATTGTGAATTTTGTTTTATTGTATTATTTTTATTATTCATTTTTATTATTTATTTTTATTATTTATTTTTGTTATTTATTTTTATTATTTATTTTTATTTTTTTTATTATTTTTTTTATTATTTATTTTTATTATTTATTTTTGTTATTTATTTTTGTTATTTATTTTTATTATTTTTTTATTATTAATTTTTATTATTTATTTTTATTATTTATTTTTATTATTTATTTTTATTATTTATTTTTATTATTTATTTTTATTATTTATTAATTATACTATTATTCGTTGATGTTTGTACAAACATCCTTCACATATTCGATAAACGGCACACAACACAACTTTGTGATGTATTTCGATTAAATTTATGTGTTAAGCACCTTACCTGGCCCAAAAGTTTTATGTTTATCTGACAAAAGACACACTTGACACAAAAACATACCTGATGATATCGGCCTCATCGGGCAGGTCATGATGTTCTCGCAGCGTTGACCGTCGATGTTGAACTCCTCATTCTCTATGTACAGTTTGATGAAGGGCAACCTAGTGTTGAGATGGTAGGAGCAGTGGAGATTGCGCGGGTAAACTCCCGGGTACGCGGGAGACTGGACGTAGCAGGTCTGCAGACGGCAGTCTTTGAAAACCCTCTCACAGTAGGACCTACGGTAGGCAAATATACATTTAGTGCATTCTAAGTGTACAAGTCTAATACGGCCACTATGAATGACACTGCCATAGTTAACAGGACAGAACCGTGTTTACTATTATAGTGTGTGGCGTTTTGGAAGGAGACCTTATCCAGGGTAGTAAGATTTAAGATGAAATGATTCTCAACATGTGTCGTAAATACAATTCCTTTTCCTCAACAATATTGAGTTTAAATCTCAATGGTAATCTCATTCTTTGCCGGAAAACGTTGTATTTATTTACCCAAAACAATCTTTGACTACTGAGTCTAATGATTATTGTTACCTCCTTGTTACTTTTGTTATTATTATTACCTACTTGTTATTGTTACTCAAGTTATTGTTATTATTGGTATAGTACTAATTCATTGCTAGTTATTCATTTTATCATGTTCTTATTGTTAACACTTTCTACTGTTTTATGAATATTAGCAATCTTGTTAACATTGTAACTTTTCGTAAAATGGTTTTATTATGAAGATAAATCTGGTAGACTTCCGTATCTGTTGGCACAAACAACCGAATGAAAATATCAATTATTCGATTGTTTCATTCGATATATCGAATAATCGATATATCGATCGATATTTTCATTCGGTTATTTGTGCCAACCCGATAAATTAACTGAATTAAACCGTATACATACCCAGCCACCACTTGTCCCCTTCTGTTAGGGTAGAGCTCAGGGTGTTGGCCATACCGCAGATACACGTCGAACTGCTGCTCGGCGCGGCTGTCGAAGCTGAAGTACGTCTGGTCTGTGAAGTTGTCCACGTGGAACAGCAACTTCACGAAGCTCGTCTCAGATATGAACGTCTGCGCTTGTTCTGTCTCGCCACAAAATAGCCCCGGGTCCTTGCGATTGCTTAGCTCAGTCTTGGCGTTTCCGTCTACAATCTAAACATTAAGTGGTAGAGTCAGTAAACCCTTATACGTAATGGAGTATTGTAATAGTATATTACGTTACTAGTCCTGAAAGTATGTGTTTACCGGACGAGTGAGGTCGTTCCCGTGCGAGACGAAGTCGAGTGTGGGATTACCATACGAGTCCGGTAAACACATTTTGGAGGAGTGGTGTACAATATTTTACGCCATACTACTGCTAACTTGACAATAAAAATCTGTACAAATCCTTACATTTCAACCGACTAGAGAACTAACAACTAACTTATAACCTTTAAAGGAGGTTATGTTTTTGTTTATAACCACTCATCGCCAAATACAATCAGCTGGTTGGTGTCCGGTAAAAACTCATTACAGTACAGTAGTACGTAATGAACCGCCATTTGATTAAGCTGGCGGCAAACAGCTGTTTTCTGGACTAAATCCTTGCGTGGAAAGTTCGTCGAAACAGTGTAGTGTGGCGTAAACAATTAATCGTAGTCGCCTGGTGTAGAGCATGGTTATAGTCTTTGGAAACATTAACGACTACAAATTATCAATAGACACTCTGTGAATCTGTGTCAAACACAATAAATCCACGTATCTGGTAAAAAAAAGATAGATGGGTAATGCCACTGCATTAAAAAGGTTTCTTTAAGATAAGAAACACAAATTTAACAAATTTTGCAAACTTTACCAACTACAAATTCAAAAGTGAGCGAAAGTGAGAACATTTATTATAGCTCTGCAGCAAGGGATAACACTTTGTTGTGAAATACACTGAAGAGTGCTTTAGTACTCTAAGTTATCTGAATTCATCAACATTTGACACCAGATTAAACATATAGTATTAAAATTCATATGAGTTTTAAAGATCGAATACACAACAAACAAAAAAAATAGCCTTATTATGCTGAAAGGGATGTTGTAGTTGTATTTTAACGTATGTTGTATTTTTAACTTTAAAACTTGCAGTACAATAAATTGCCATTAGTCGATAAAAAACAAGGGGTAGCTATTATCTATAATACATTTACAACATAAATAAATAGTTTTAGGAAAATATGTTTGAAAATATTTTTTGAATATTTCTCTGATAAGATTACAGTTTCAAATAAGCTTTACTAGCATTTAAATTGAAAGATTACTGTTAAAGGTTGATATAAAAGAATGTGTAAATCCTACTAAAGTTGGATTCTATAACGTTTTCCAACGCAACTGTTCTAATTATGGGGTTAAAGATGAAGTTTACCCGTAAAATATTATTTGTATAATTGTAATAAACGATAATTCTATGCTACTGCAAGACTCTTACCTGCAGGTACCCGTTGTGGCAGTCGGTAGCGTTCACCAGGGTTCCTACTTTGAACTTCTTAAACCTTATCTTGAGTATCCAGTCTTTGGGAGTTCCCCGGAAGCTGCGGAAGCGGTACCAACACGTCATCGGCTTCCCAAACGTATCCTGCGTCACTTCCGGGGACACTACATCCTCGTATATGTCCACCGTCTTATTACAATGGTCCTTCCTCACCTCTGGAAAACACATGTTTTTCATTATATCCTTTATAAGGTCACTGTAAGTGCCTAAATACAGGTTTTAATGAGGGTAAACACATTTTTTTAAGAAAAGAATTGTCACATCGAATACATGGTCTTTGTGGGAGCGAGCTGGTCTAGTGGTTGGAGCGTGGGACTTCGGTCCCTGAGGTTTCGGGTTCAAATCCTGCGGGTCTGACTTAGGGGAGGTACGATTGAGGCATTAGTTCAAAATTCCTCCGTGAACAGCGCTGTAGTAGAGAGCACTTTGGCAATGAAGGTTTACTTATCGCAAAAATAGTTCTGTTCATACAAAAAAATTATAAATGCCTCAAATTCAATTTTATTATTTTTTTATTATAAAATTAAACTATCATAACCTAACCGAACTAACCAAACTTGTTGATAATGAAATAATATAACACAAGTTTAGTAATAGAACAAAGAATTCTGTTTATTAAATAAAACTAGAAATTGCTCAAATAAAATTTTATAATGACTTAATGATAAAATTAAACTGTCATAACCGAACCAAACCAACCAAACCAACCAAACTTGCTGATAATAAAAAATCTTGGACAACAAGTTAATGCTACCAGCGGGATTCGAACCCGGGACCTTCAGCATATCAGCCCGGCACGCTACCACAAGAACACCGAGGCCGATGGCCGATGGAGATCGTTTTGTTACGGTAATGGCGTTCCCTCAGCTAATAAGAAGCCCACAGCTGTCATCGTAGCCTCTTCTATACCTCTTCTGAGTAAATACCCAAGTCCTGCCAGGTCACCAATGGATTTTATCTAAATAATAATGCAGCAATCCTTAGATTTAGCTAGAATTGATTTTAAAAACAATGCTCGTGCCCAGCTTCCTAGGACAAAAAGAAATAAAATGCACGATCTTTCCTATATAACCGGACCCAAATATACACCAACTCTCAAAGTATTTTAAGATAGTCTATAACCTTTTTTTTAAAAACTTTGAGCCTATCTCAACTGTACCTTAAACTGTTATCCTATTAGGATAGACATATCAGACTATGAAAAATGTCTCTGTATTGTTGAATTTCCTCTCCTACAATAATCATGAGAGAATTAATCATATAACACTATCTTCCCTAATCTCAAATATATTCATATATAAAGAAAAAAAACTTGATAAGAGCTAAATACGTCAAAATAACAATTTTAAATTCGCAAATTTCAAAGGATTGTTTACTCGTCATAAGTCAAGTCTGAATCCAGAATTATACTTGGTTTAGTTTAAAAGCTCTCTAAACTTTTAAAGAGCTAATCGGTGCTCTGGGAAAATAATTTAGTTAAAACGTGGCTTACGCCAATTGACTCGTTTCAAACGATGTTGCAAACTTTGTTCCGTGAAAAATTTCCAATTATACCTCAACTTTGAGTCCTTTGATGGATTATAGCTTTGATCCATTAAATTCATTCCCATCTAATTGGGTTGAAGTTGGAATGAATTCCACGAGAGCTTTGATTCGAGATCAACTTGGAATATTCTACGAACATTTAATAAATAAAATGTATCGAAAAAATATCGGATTGGGTCATTGGTTTTGGGAATTTGTGTGAATTAAAATAACTTTTTTTTATAGAATCAGAGTTTTGTATAGGCTAGAGAAGGTTTTTATTGTTTGAGAAAAATCTATATATTTTAATTTCTTTGTAGCGCCCTAATAAAATGCTTCAAACTATAAAGATTTTGAATAAATCATGACCAATATACACTTCTTGACGAGTATAGCTTTATAAGGATAGATTAAGCTCTCTGAACCATTATGTAAAGGAATAATCACAAATCTGTTGGTAATTTGAGGGATTTAGGCACGGACTACTGCCACCAACGCCCCTTTACACGATGTACACGATACACACAAAATAGCAATATTATAGTATCTTTATTATTGTAGCTTTATAGTTCATTATGCCATTATTTTATTCAATATTGATTTTGATACTATAAAGAAATCACATCATCAAATGTCTTTTATGAGATAGTTGTTAATATATCTTAATTAAAGCGGATTTGTAAATTTTGGACCACTCGAATATCTCACAATTAAATTTGAATACCAAGAGTAGACTATAGTTTTTGTGATCTTTAATTTTACTGTCTTATCAATGATCGATTCCTAGACTCCCTAGTTGACAAATTGCAGGACTAGAAACAAAAAGGCTTAGACTTTTCTCGTGGTTTTTCAATTGATTACATATTTACGTAAGTATTAAATTGGGTTGACTTCCGTATCTGTTGGCACAAACAACCGAATTAAAATATCTATTATTCGATTATTTAATTCGAAATATCGTTTGCTTGGTTAGGTTAACCTTACCTAACTAACCAAACGATATATCGAACAATCTCTATATCGATCGATATTTTCATTCGGTTGTTTGTCCCAACAGATACGGAAGTCTACCCATTAAATTACTAAAAAATAGTGACAGGTTGAAATACCTTTCCTAGTTGCAGCCGGGTTCGGTGACACACATATCACTGCTATTAGGAAGATAAGAAAAACTATCATTACAGTCGCCATCTTGATCCTCTTCTTCTTCCTCTTTCACTCTTACGTTGTCCAAACCAAACGAGTAAGCTTGGTCACCTCATCTGAAACAAAGAATAGTTATCTTGCCATTGATTATATTTTTGTTATTGTGGTGGTGCAGAGTTACAGGCCATCACATAGTAAATGTTTGCCCTTTTATATTTCTTCGTAGTATATTGTTTGTCTCCATAGTGCGATCGAATCTAGAAATTTTTATTTTGCTTTTTAAGATAATTTAATAGATAATCTTATTGCTAATTTTAGTGGTAGAGAGAAATAATGAAATAATGTTGGGCAAATCGGAAAATAATTAGGATTGTATTTCATTAAACATTTGCAACTTTAACATTTAGAGATAATATATTTTATTACATTGTCACAGAGATTGATTTTTAAATCATTGTTTTGGAATTTCAGTTTCACAACTATGCAGCTACCTTGTAGAAATCTACAAGTGTACGTTTTTAAATATATAATACAGATTTTGATTACCTATATAAAAGGTGCAAAATATCACCCAAAAAAGCTTAATTATCGAGTCACATAAGATGTTTTCATCACTCTGTATTCGAAAATAGCCCATTTCCATACAGCTGAGATCTTCGAAAACCGTCAATTTTCATACACCAAAAACAAATAGTGATCAGCTGACTTTTCCTAATATAAACGTTACTTTCGCTACACAAACATTACTTTGCCTGACATCAACAAAGTTACAACTTAATTTTTTTAAAGTTTAAAAATTTTTTAAGTTTGATGAAGTAGTTTTTTTCGTGATGAAAAGTATCGTCCCATACTCGTCATGTTAGTCCCATTTCGTGAATAGTAGTGAAATATACTATTATTGTAAGCTAAATATAGTTCTAAAAAAATAATGTAAATAAGAAAATTACCACTCAAGCAATGTTTATATTGTCTTGTTACATTATAACATTTCATTAAGAACGATATCCCATGCAAAACACCTAAAAAAAGTTTCATAATTATATAATCTTTTTTAATATTGAAAAAAAAAACTCACCACTGTATATTCTCTACTTTATTTTTCACTGATCGTTATAATTGTTTATCAATTCCATCACATTATTTTAAATATTCAAAATAAGTTTTACAACCATAAATATAACAATGTTGTGTATACAAATGGTGTTTTGACATTGTTTCATTGATAAATAACACAAACCATCAAGCTACTCAATGTATGTGCATGATGTTATACAGCAGCTATTTGTTGTTTCAGTATGATAAACAAGATATGGCATGTTTGCAATTCGCTTGCTAAGTCACACAGATAGCCCAGTTCGGTCGGTGAGCAGAGTACAACAATAATGGAACTGCATCTGTCAGACTGTTTATATTACTGCATGTCATTGCTCCCTTTGCCTTCCTCTTTCACTTCATCAGGTTTTCTTGTTGAAATTTAAAGTTTATAATTTAACTTGACTATGACCAATATTACTAGTTGAAATCGCTCAGTATGTAACATTGTTATGCACTTTTAACTACGACCGTTTTTTTAAAGCAGCCGTTTCAGTTCAGTTCTTAGAATTGAAAAGTGTCACATAACAGCATAGTTTAAATAAACAACACGGGTATCGGACCAATGAGGTTCAAGGATTGAGATAGAAGAAATAAAATTGTAATGCTTCGAACTTCAACTAATCAGCTGTTTACCAACCTAATTAATTCAACGATTGGTAGCATGTACCATGAGTCGTTGCATCATTGTCAGTGGCAATGTGAGGTTATAAATGAAAACATAACCTTTCTTAGAAGTTTTGAGTAGTGATTATTAATAATAAAAAAGCAAGTAGTAGGTAAAGTAGTGTACGCGACTCGCGTAAATAGTGTTAACGACACTCGTAGAAGTTTTTAAGGCACCCGCCAAGGCTCGTACTGTAAAATTTTCTATTCGTGTCGTTAACACTATCTTTACATGATCGTTGAGTAAACTACTGTTACAGTCTTGTAAATATTTATAGTATAAGTTTTGATAGAAAGAACTATGTTTTAAGATATGTTTTTTTTTTAATTCTTACACAAAAATTACGCTATAGCTATAGCTAAATCGTATATGAATAATTATTTTACGATAATTTTTCTTTTTTAGTGATTTTACCATGGGGAAAATTTATTTTTTTGCCCTTATTTTCATAGTAAGACCTTATCGAGACTCAACCACCATACATTTTAGTTTTAGGGTTAACAGTTAATTTCAAGATGCTAACCCAATCTACTACAGAAGATTTTATCCTTCTGATGTTTTAACTTTGCCTCAAAATGGTTTAGTCTCAAACAGGATTTGACAATTTTGAAATCCCTATAAAAATATATGAAATGCATTTTTGCACTAGTTCTTATTTTGTTATTGCATCCAGTTAGAAAACAATATCCAATATACAAAAGTACTTAGTTCTAGTGCCTTTTTAATTGTACATCAGTAGGCTATGTATATAATAATTACAAAAACACAAAACTCCCTATATCTGTAGAAATCGATTGAAGTGATTATGTGCAAATTAGTCTAGAATCAGTTATATATCATATCAGTTCAATTAAGATATATCTGTGCAAAGACTATTTTGTGATTAAAAGCAAATTTACATTGAATATTTAGATATTTAACTTAGGACACAGATTTTTTAGCGAATTTCCCTATAGGGAAGTAGCTATTACCGTAGGTGGCACGGTAAGACCTAGACCCGGGACCGATTTACTTTTTCATTTTGATGTCCCCAGAGGCCAAAAACACTATTCGTTCAAATTTTTATATATGTATATATATATAGACATATATATATATATATATACACGTCCGTAAACGCGATAACTTGAGTAATTTTTGTCCGATTTTGATGAAATTTGGTTTAAAGGTGTAAATCGGGATAAACTTGAATGAGTTCGCGAACCAGCATGATCGGACCATGGGAACGGGGCTTTACAGGGGGTTTTATGGGGTAAAAATTGGTTTTTCTCACTTTTGACCCTCAAAACACAAAATTTCCCAATTTCTCTTTAGACCCTTTTAAAGAGCTTAAAAAAACAAATAATTTAGTATATGAAAGTATTTTTGTTCGATTATTAGTAACGGAGAAAATTAAAAAAATTGTAAATTTAAAATTCCCATGTTATTTTAATGGAGAATATTGTCAAATGTTGTAGTTTGCTTGTTTATGAATATATTTTGATCAAACTTGGCAAATTTATTTATTTTCTACTAAGCTATCAATATTTTACTCAAAAACACACTTTATTAGTTTCCTTGTAGCAGCAAACCTAGGTACTCGTTAAACCTAATCTTATTAAAATATATTTAACTGAAAATCAATTCAGACAAATGGAAATTCGCTTAGTCGGCAGGTTTGCTGCGGCGGGGGTATTGTTATTAAAAATAAATAGCACTCAAAACAAGTTTCATAAAACGTTGAAAAGCGTCTAATGGAAGAGTCAGTAGCAATCCATTGACAGTTCAATATGTCAAATGGTCCAGTGAAGCAGTGAACCCCCCCTGCGCCCCCCGCACCCCCCACCAGGAATCAATAAAGGGGGTGAAAAACAACAAAGCTTTTCATTCCAAATGTGTAACATTGGTAACTTTGCACCCTCAGTTATTCCATAATTTTTGCCAATGGTAGTTTTTATAGGTTATAATTGAACTATTATTGGTTTTCTTGAAATGTGTGGATCCCACAAATGTTTTCACTAGAGAGTAAGTTTTGGTAAAGTAATTTAATTTTTAATTATTATCATTGAATTCTTGTCTTCTTAGATGCGTGTTTTACGCCAAATATTGGTAAATTATTATTTTAGAATGGAGTATGCCTTGCGTATGTTTGTTGATAAGACCAGCTGTTTCATTAGTCAGAACCTTTTACTATAAGACTAATGATCGAGAAGTATACCAGCCTGGATATGTTTGGTGGTTATCAACATTTTTAAATATTTTTTCATTATTTTCTTTTTTGGATTTGCCTATAGTCCAGAGTAACTTCGGTAGTTATAATATTAAATAAAATATACTTCATAGGTAAGTCTTCATACTTACCGGACAGTTATTTGAAAGATTGACGGATATTTGACATGCAAAAGCTCTAAAATATTACTGTAGAAAGTTGTATTACCTATTAAGTATAATATAACTCATTACGGTAACATTGTAACATAGTTTTCTTATAACAACACTACGAAAAAACATAAAACTAAACCAATGGCAAATATTGAAATCAAATCAAGTACTAAATTGAATTATTTGTATGGTAAGACTTTTGAACAATCAAACCTTTTCATAGAAAATGAAATCGGTCAAATACATTCTAAACCCGAAAAAAAATATTAAAAAAAATCTAATAGGATAATATAAGAAAACACGAGTATTTAAAAGCAATAATGAAAAATGGTGTTACAGTTATTTTAGTAGATACAAAAACTGTTACGGCAAGAATCCATCTCAATGGTTCTGAGAACCTCTCTTCACTTAGCTAATTAATTGGTTTACAGAGAAATCCATCTCAAAGCGTTATAATTGCTTTATCAAAAGACCTTTTTAAAAAATATTGCGTTAAGCATTCATGTTACAGGAAATGTGGTTTTGAAATCTACTTAATTGGTTATTAATTATATTATTCTCCGATTCAATTCTGTAAGATATTTTACAGTAAATAAATTAATTAGTTTTTAATTCAACCTGCACAATTAACAAATGTTTTATACCCCCTAAAAACTATGTACATTATCAATAAAGAACAAGTAAACACAAAAAAACCAATGTTATAACTATTTTTAGACATTAAATAGTGGCTATGCTGTTAGTAACTAAAGGAATGGATTTAGCAGTAACCTCATAAATCATTATTTTTGTTAATTATTAATAAAATTTAGTTTTCTTGAACGAAAATCTGGACGCCAGTGTTATGGAAGTATGTGTTGTACCACAGTTCTTACTAGCTACAAAGAATCATTTCGTATAACTTTAATTTTATCCTTCAAACAAATAAGAAACAACTGCTGCTAGAGTTCTTTCCAAGAAATATATTGTAAGACTGTCTATACTTCAACCTGAGTA